AGGCACGCTAGAAGCCATAATACAAGGGAGCAATGTTGTGGAAATTCTAAGGGGAAACTACTTCCCACCTAGAGTTCTATACCCAACTATCAAATATAAGGATAAAAAAAGACATTTCTAGATGTGCCAGGTCTCGTGAAATTTATTTCCCAAGTACCTTTCTCAGGAAGCTACTGGAGGGTGGGCTCCAACAAAACAAGAGAATAAACCAAGGAAAAGGAAGACAATGGGTCCAAGAGCAGGGTGGGCATTCAAGTCAGGAGGGAGAAGGGAATTCCCAGGGTGACAGCTGTGCCACAGACCTAGAGGGCAACTGATCCAGATGGAGCTGGGGAACAGGGCACTACAGGCGGCACGCCGCCAAAAGGAAAAAAAAAAAGGAGAAAACAGTTCCAAGTTTGACTGCATGGGGGTGGGGTAGGGTCCTTTCCCACAGATACCCTTGCTCAGCCTTGCTTGTCCCACCCTTCCATCTGACTAGAGAGGCCAACACACAGGTGGGACTCCCTTACCTAGAATTCAACTGGTTTAACAGTCACTAAATGCTGGGCAGGATTCTCCCCATACCAGGAGAAATCACATTTGCTGAAGACTTGGGTAACATGATTCCTCAAACCTGTGCGGTGACCCACAATGTGAGCACTCAGAGGACGTCCTGCTCGGTCACACGCAACCACAAGCCCAGGAGAAACCCCTAGCCCCTATCCAGCCTCTGGCTTCCTCTGCAGAGCAGCTGTAGACTTCCTCCCAGGGGCTGGCGCACACCCTGCCTTTCCCTGCAGAGGCCTGATGGGCAAAGCGGTGGATGTGTGTGGGCTCCCACATGTCACTCCCAGGTATCACCAGGGTATTGCACTCACCGCCACATGTCCCCCCTCCTCACTAAGGAACCGCCGGACATCACGGAGGGCTGCCAGGGCACACTGCCTTCAGAGGAGAAAACACAGAGTCAGCCAGCACCCAGACCTTGGCTGGATGTCGGTGGGTCAGGGACACGTCCTACGCAACACAGGAGAGAGGACGGCCCCTGGGCCCCCCCCTCTCTCTTTTCAAGGTTTCTCTTCTTTTTCCTTGAGATGACATTCAAGCTAAGTCTGCTCCTGAAGGGTGGAAGGCTATGTGTTTCTGCTTTTGGGAATACTTTTTGAAATACCACTTTTCTGAACTTTCAATTCTCATCTTACCATGTACAAATCCAGGCGGCCATTTTGCCATGTTCATGATTTCAAATTGTCATGCATGTTCCCTGACTGTCAATATAAATGCTCTTAAAACCAGATGTTTCCTTGAGTGTGGGCTAGTGGTGGGGAGAGGGGAGACACTATCGCTGGCCCTCAGGGCAACATTAAACTGAATACTCAATTTTCTTTCCTGGAAGAGAGAACTCCCCAAACCATCGCTTCTGAAGAGGGTGCTTGTCTCTCCCTCCTGCACCTATGTCCAGAGACCCTCTGGAAGGTGAAACTCTCACCATGATTGATACTGACTAGGCTATTCAGAACATCTCAGCCTTTTCATTGATTGCTGCTAACTAGGTAACTCGGGGTAGGGCTCCTAGATAGTCTCATGATGGGACGGGGTCACCAGAAAGACCAAGTGATAAGAGGGTTGAACTTTCAGCCCCACCCACCTACCTCCAGGAAGGGGGTGGGCTGGAGGTTGAATTGAGCTCTATAAAAACTCTTGAGGGCCGACCGAGTGGCACGATGGTTAAGAGTTGGCTTGGGACGCCAGAGGGCCGCGGTTCGGATCCCACATATAAGGGCCAGTGACACTGCCCTCTACAGCTAAGATGCTGAACAACAGCTCAACATGGAGCTGGGCTGCCATGAGTCGCTGGCGATGGCATAGGTTGCAGCCCCTGCTGCAGTGGGTTGCCATGGGCTACCGTGTGTAGCCAGCAGCCAGCATGAGCAGCCAGCAGCCCCTGTGAGAAGCCATCCAGAAGCCGGCAACTGATCTGCCTCGCCCGGGAAGAGCGCAATGATGGTGCCAACTTGGGCCAGTGAAGCAACGTCCTCCACAACTAGNAGCTGCTTTCCCTGTGTGCAGAGCTTTCAGAGCACACTTACCTGTTTATGTTTGCGAGGAGGGGGGTGGGATAGGGTGGGGAGCAACAGGAGGAAAAGGTGGGGCTTCTCAGGCATTGTACTTGGGTTCCTTCAGCTCAGAGCCCTCTGGTTGTGCTCATCTGAGCTCTCACTGTCTGGACCACGGGACCTTGGTTAAGGTTTAGGGTGTTGTACAGACACCACCAACGTTTACTGACAAATCCAACAGGAGCTGCTCCCGATAAGCCCCTCTACTGTGGTCACATCACAGAGCCATGAGGAGAAATGCTGTGCTGTGCAGACCAGGGGATACACAGACAACCAGAGAGAGGCTAAGCCAGCAAGCGTCATGTGGTTCCAGCCAGCTGGGACTGGCTGCAAAGGCCAGCTGTACTCATCCAGTCCAGAAGTCCAGGCCCCAGAAACCACCCCGCCACCAGCCGCTTGTTTTCCTCGGTTTACATGTATTGTATATAAGTGATCAAAGCACAAATTTATATTCCAGCTTTTTCACTCAGTGCCTAACATTCATTTTCCTGCATCTCTTTGGTATGGTTTATAATGACCGTGTTAACACTTTACCAAGGGGTCTCACAGTTATTTACTTAACCACTGCCCCCACTTACGTAAGACAGGACTTGGCAACAACGGCCAACAAGTCACACTCAGCCCACAGCCTGTTCTGGTAAACATGGTCGAGCCCCTTTATTTACATGCCGTCTACATTCCTTTTGCACTACAGTGGCTGAGTTGGCTGTCTGCCCCAAAGCCTAAAATATTTACTACCTGACCCTTTGTAGAAAGTTTGTTGACCGCTGCTGTAAGAACCCCAGCTGAATGCCCCCTTATGGGCCTAAAGACCCCACCCCGCCCACCACTCTCTGCTGCTGGATCTTTCTTTTCAGAGGGAGGCGGGCAGCTATCCCGCATGGACCACTACGCAGAGTCTGGGCACCGCTGCCCCCTTCTCAAAACACAGACTGTGCAAGTAAAGAGCATGTCATGTTCGCGAATGCCTGTGGGAAGGGCCTTGATTTTATGATGGAAAAGTGGGAAATTCTGACTCGCAGAACTCCAGATAAGGCAACAGGGGTTCTGTAAGTCGCCTCTAGCCCACGACTTCTGCTGCAAGGAAAGAAACAAAGAGAGCCAGACCATCTCTGCCTGTTGGGGAGGCCCCTCAGCCACCACCAAGTAGGATCCCCCCACCCTCTCATCAGAGCCGCAGGACACGGCGTTCTCCTCACTCACCTGTCCAGGTCCTCATCCAGAGACTCGTATGAATTCTCATAGCACTCGATGCGCCTCATGAAATCCTCTGCGGCCTCGTCACTGTCCCGGTTGACATAGTCAGGGCTGCCCAGTTTCACTTGCTGCCGGAGCAAGCCACACATAGACCAAGGATATACATCAGGGCTGGAGGCCAGGCAGGACCAGAGACCAAGGAGAATGCCAGGAAGGGGGTGGGGGAGCTGGGCCGGGGGCCAGGCCAAGGCTGGGGAGAGGGGTGAAGCCCAACCCCAAAGGGGCTGGTCCCATTAGGAAGAGTCCAGCAGCTCCCATACTGGTGCTAAGAGAGCATTACTGGGCACCCTGAGGTTGGAGTCCCTCATGGTTGTGGGACAGGGGGAGGCGGGGCCAGAGGGGCGAGGGGCCTGGAAGACCCTCCCCACCTGAACTATCTCCCCAAACCCAGATGTTCATTCCTTAGGTAAACTGGAGGCAGGGGAGATGGGTCAAGATTCTTCCTCTTTCAAAATACAAACACTACCTCTTACCCCCACCCTCCTCCCTGGGGGCTGAAGCTCCTGTCCATTATCCAGGGGATTATGAGGAGAAGGGAAGAGGAGTGAGCAAGAATGAATGCCCACGAGCCACACAACCCCCATACGAGTGGCCCTTGGGGTTCAGGCTCACCTGACCCAACATTCTACTGCCTCCCACCCCCTACCCCAAGATTCAGGAAGACCAAATTAAGGCCAGCCCAGGCACCAGTCCAAACCTGGAGAGGGACCTCACTGTCATAGGCCTGTATTGCTGTCCCAACAAGGTCAGATGCACCACTCACCACGATGTTAGCAGCTATGACCTCAGGGTCCACACAGATGGACTCAACGAAAAAAGTCTGCAGCAGGGACCAGGGCGGGCAGGAGGGAAGAGACCACAGACATCTTTAGGGCTCTGGGCCTGGCTCCACGGAGCTGCCTACCCCACTGAAGCCCAAGCTGAGCAGCCGGGGCCCTGAGGCCCTGCTTTTGGGGTGGAGGGCAGGGTCTAGAAGCTTGGAACCAAAGCAGGTGCTGCCCTATCCAGGACTCTCCCACCAAGACCCCAGCCTCCCCGGAAAGAAGACCCCAGGAGGAAAGAAGAAAGACCCCTCTCATCCCAAATCCACTAGGGAGCCTGCCTGCCTGAGCCCTGCCCGCACCAGGGGGCCATGAAAGGGGCCCCGGAGGGTCTGAACATGCCACGGCCCAACCAAGGAGTTGAGGCACAAGGTCTCACCTTGTAGCCATTCTGTTCCCCAAAATTAAAGATGGTCGCTCTCCGTTCTCGGGTGGTATTTGTTGCGTCAAAAACCTAGGACCAAACTGGGGTTAATTCAGCCTCTGGCCCTGGAGAAGGTAGGGAGTCACCTGACTGCTGCAGTACAGGGACTGGATTTCTCTCCAGGACCAGCTGCTGTCCAGGCCACCTGCCTGGCCAGTCTCCTTCAGACCTGCAACGGCTGGGCTGGTCCTCCCCTTCCTCGGGGAGCACACCCCAGGGAAGCTAGAAGGAGTGGGTGCCTTGCTCCCTGCAGGGCAGCAAATCTTTGGCATGGAGGAATGTACTCAGCACTGTTCTGCATACAGCAGGTGCTTAGGTCATGTTTGACCAACAGGACTTCCAGTGAAACGAATTAAACCTGGAGAACTGAACCCACATTTATTCCCACTCCATCCTGAGACCCCAAGATGGGAACAGAAGGATAAAGACAACAGGAGAGGAAAGGAGAGAAATGGGACATGTCCACGAAGTTCTGTAAGCAGTGACTGACTCAGAAAGGGAGAAACACCAAACATGAGCCCTTGCCAACCAGAACACACCTGCTTGTGCAGAACCGGGATGGTCAGGAGCGGACGCACAGGCATCTCTGACAAAAGGGACGAGGGTGCGGAGGAAATGGGGGGACTGGCTGCCTGTGCAACCAAGAGCCGGTGGAGCCCCAGGCCCGTCCCCACCTCATCCAGCCAGCTCTGCCCGCCTGGGGCCCACCCTGGGGCCAGCCACTCACCCGCCCGTCCAAGCAGCTTTTACAGCATCACTTTTTCAAAAGGGCAAAACCACTAACATGAAAAACGGAGACTAAATCAAACAGAATAAAAGAAACTTCAAGAAGATGAAGACAGGAAATGGAACAGAAGGAAATGTCAAAAAACTTACAATTATTATCTAAANCAAAACGACAGCAACTTGTCTGTTCCCCTTCCCCCAATTCCCCAGCGCTGTTCCCATTCCCCCAATTCCCCAATAAAAATCTTAAAAAAAAAAAATTTTTACAACAATGGTTTTTATACACTAGACAACAGGCAGAGCAGGACTGTGATCCTTGAGAGACGGGTCACGAGAAGCCTATGATGGCAGTGGCTTACTGCCCAGAGGCCATTCCTGGACTAAAGAGAGATAATCGGGGGAAAAAAATAGAAGACACAAAACAAGAACAAAATTGAAGTCCTCGGGCTTAAAAACAGGTCACTGGATGGGTTTAATAAAAAAACAGAAGTAAAGATAAGTGAACCTGAAGACACAGCGATAGAAACTATCCAAACTGAAGCTCAGAAAGAACAAAGGACAGAAACAACGGACAGAAGCTCAGTGACCTGTGGGATTATCCCACAGGTTATATATATTATACCAAGTGGTCTAATATACCCGTAGTTGGAGTCCAGGGTAGGACAGAGGGTGGCAGAAAATATAGTTGAAGAAATGATGGCGTAACATTTTGTCAAATTTGATATTTAGAAACCCAGTTATCCAAGAATCTCAATGAACTAACTCCAAGCAGGATAAACATAAAGAAAACCATACCAAGGTAAATCATAAATTCCTGAAAATCAGTGATAAAGAGAAAATACTAAAAACAGCCAGAAAAAAAGCAGACACATTATGTACAGAATGTAACATACTTCTTGTTAGAAACAATGCAACCCAGAAGACAATGGGACAGCATGTTTTAAATGATGCAACAAAAGGACAGCTGTGTGGGATCATCTCTTTTGCCCCACCAGGTCCTGCTTCTGCTTCTCTACCTGCTTTCTGCCCCAGGAGGCTGACCCTTGTGGACTGCATCCGCAATGCTCCCAGGGCCACTAATTTCTCGTTGGGCTAGGCCATGAGGAACCCTGGCAAAGGGTCACAGGGATGGAGGAGAAAGAGGCTGAGATGTTGATTCTCACGCTCCCTCCTGAAGGCGTTGTTTTCAGCCATCTAGTCCCTCGCTCAGGGTTCCATCCCATCAGGCTGCCCCTCCTTCACTGCTCCCTGTCCCCAAGTTCCTGTATCCTCCAGGTCTCCTTTCTCCTCTGCCCAAGGAAAGCAACGATCCCTGTTGCTGCAAGGTCAGGACAGTGCAATGTCTCTTGTGGTTTCCCTAGATCCTGCCCACACCTGGTAAACAGTCCCTTTATAAACCCTCATTGAATTAACCTAATTGGAGTGGCCATCTGTTTCCTTTTATGTCCCACAAATTCCTAAGTCATGAACTTTTTAAATGACTTCATAACAAAACATAAAAATATAGTGGGGAAAAAAGTAACAATGCAAAATTGTTTAAAATGCGAGAAAAATGAACAAAGTCATAATTATACTGTATCCAACATCTGACTATTGACTTATGAGGATCAAGCAGACAAAAAAAAAGACACAGAAGATTTGAATGATACAATTAAAGAAGTTGAAATGAATGACATACACACACAAACTTTTTCTTATGAAAATTTTCAACCATACAGGAAAGTAGAGACAATAGTATAACTCATGTACCTACCTCTTAGCCATAAATATTAACACACACAACCTTGTTTCAATTAAACCTACCCCTGCTTCCCTCTCCACATTCGATTACTTTGAATTACTTTGAATTCGATTACTTTGAAGAAAATGCCAGACATAATTTCATTTTACCTGAAATACTTCAATATAGGACTCTAAACATTAGAATACGTCATTATCACACATGCCCCAAAACTCATACAATTGGACAATGGACATATATTGGATAGTGTATCCAATCAAGAGACAACAGATCTTCCTTTCAAATAGCCATGAGATATTTATGAGAATTTACCATATGCTAGGCAATAAAGAAAGCCTCAAGGGACCAGCCGAGTGGCACATTGGTTAAGAGCTGGCTTAGGACACCAGAGGGTCCTGGTTCGGATCCCACAGATGAGGGCCAGTGACACTGCCCTCCACAGCTAAGATGCTGAATAACAGCTCAACTTGGAGCTGGGCTGCCGTGAGTCGCTGGCGATGGTGTAGGCTACAACCCCTGTTGCAGTGGGTTGCCATGGGCTACCGTGTGTAGCCAGCAGCCAGCATGAGCGGCCAGCAGCCAGCATGAGCGGCCGTTCAGAAGCCGGCGACTGATCTGCCTCGCCCGGGAAGA